AGGACCATTGCGCAGTAACCCAAAGCAGAGCTTATGGCTCATCTGGAAATCCAAATGAAGAAGCATTATTAGATTAATTTCATTGATACAATCAGAAGATTAGAATGGGGTTTGGAAGAGGGATTGCTGGAACCCTCCAACCCTCTTCATGCTAAAACCAACCACAGCTCAGAGCCCTGGGCTATGAGACCCTGAAGCAGCTGGCAGAACAAAGCCCCACATCTCCTCACTTCCACATTAACCATTACACAAGCTCCTAGGAACATCTACAGACATTAAAACATTTCACCTGCTCCAAGCCACCACAGAAGGCAAGGGGAACATGGAAATGAGTGCTTGGGAAGCCTGACTGCATGCCCCATGCTCAGGAAACAAGCTCAACCAGGAGGCAAATGCTTCTGATTTACAAACACCCAACGACCTTTTGCTGTGGCAAGGGTCTGTGTAACAGGGGCCACTACTACAGCATGTGCACACACTCACACTTAGCTGCTATACTTAGAGCACAACCCACCTCCAGCAAGCTGAAAGACTCTGGAATTTCTTCTTCTAGTTTTAGCTGCAATGCCAACAGTTGCTACAGGGAATGGGAAGGCACATCTGTTCTTTTCCCTACTGACCCAATCAGCCTCATTTGCTCCTCAATGGAAAGCAAGTCGTTTTGCACAGCCATTTGAAATGCAAACATTCTGTATTTTCCTCCCATCAGCACCACAAGCACATGGATTCAGTTTCCTAACACTGGGGCTTGGTCGTGGAAATGAAAGAAAACACAGAATGCCCCTAAAATAACCTCCCCAACTACTATATTGTCAGTCAGTGGATGCCACTCAGGGGCCCAGAAAAGCCTGTGTTACCTCCTCCGAAGGATTCCAGCCACAGTCAGGTGTTCACTGCCTGAGTGTGCCAGTTAAAGACCTTTCCTCTCCCAAACTGTCCCTCTGCAGGGGTCAACGGAAGAGATCACAGTCACTCCCCAGCTGCTCGGGGGCCCACTCAGCTGCCCCCATTCCACACTCACCTGCAGCACATCCAAAGCTGCTCCTGGTGGAGCTGCTGAGGAAAGCTCAGCTGATCCACCCCTGAGAAGAGCTCCTGCCCAGCCCTCAGCAGAGGGGCAGCCCCACCTCTGGCTTCTGGAGCAGACACCTGAGCAAGAGCTTGCACCAACTGCCTCAGCACTGAGCTGCAAGCTCAGCAAAGTGAAGCTAACACCTGAAGTACAACTCACAGTTTGCCTAACATACGGAAAACACATTAACCCCCCTTCTTCCCTTTACTAGAATCCCTTCAGGCAGACGTCTTCTCAAGGCATAATCCATGTTTTCTGTTCTGCTTTACAAGCATGTATCACACAGTAAGTTATCTGCCCAGAAAGAAAAGAGGACTAGGTTACCAAATGAAGTCCAAGATTCAAAGAATTCAGTACAAGCTCAGAGCAAACAGTCAGTAACCTTTGGAATCTATTTTGCTTTGAGGTCTAGCATTTTGCCAGGGAGTCAAAGATGCCCTTCAAAAGTTTCTTGTGAGGGCATGGAAGTTCAGGGAAGCAGCACAAAGTTGCTCCCATAATGAAGATCAAGTCAGAAGCAATCTAGCACCTACAAGAGTAAGCTTCAGGTTCTGCTGGGAAGTGGAGTAACCTGGGGGGCAAAAACCCCACCTCTTAGCATATGACCCTCGTTTCCACATGGTTTCTCCCTGCTTAGGCTGAACACAGACATTTAGCAGGTGCTGTAACACACAATTATAACAGGAACTGCACATCCATTTCCTACTGCTGTATTCTGACTCTTCCCAAAGTATTGGCAAAGAGTCTGTGAGAGCAGTGCCACCAGGGCAAAAAGGATTGAGGGGAGGGAGAAGAAAACCATCAGGGACCTCAGGTGTACAAGGAGAAAACAGGGCAGAGGAGGAAGAGCCCAAAGGGAATGCTCCCTCTGTAAAACCACACCAGAACGAGTAGATTTTACGTAACAGCATCCGGGGTGCTAAAACCAGCACAGCTCTCACAGCAAGGACAAAAGCACCATTTCAAGCCCACTCTGGGAGATGGTGTTCCTGAAGTTAGGAGCTCTAGTACCAAAGGCCAGATTCCCAAAGCCCTGTGTTCTTTGGGAAGTGCTGATCACACATACACACACTCTGGAGGCAGCCTCTTCTCTCGCAGCTCCTGTTTTGACCAGAGGATGTAGCTACCACAGCGTGGAGCATTTCTACAGCCACTGCATTCCAGGTCACATCTTAACTACCACCAAAGCTCTGCAGTACCCATGGTGACAACTGGAAACTCAACATAAGCTGAAGCTAGGAAAGAAGAATCATTAGAGTATGTGTTTGTGCACGTAACAGGGTGATTGATGAACATCTGAAACAGAACACACAGAACTACCTTCAAATAACAGCTTCCTTCTGGAGGAAAGTCATTGATTAAAGAAAAAGGAGAGAAACTTATAGTTAGGCCAAGATCTTTAAGGTCCCTTCCAACCCAAACCATTCTATAAGTTAAGCCAAAACACTGCTGGTTCCTACGGGCCCTGGGAATGGCCCAATTCCAGTATGGAAGCAAGAAACTCCAGCACTGAGAAAGGGAAGTTTAGGCCAGAAAGATGGAGCTCACGTGTCCAGCTTGGAGTGAAGGAAAAAAGACCGTTCAGAAAGAGCACACTGCAGCCTCCTGAACTGTGTGATCAAGTTCCCACCTGTACTGAACGGCTCAAGGCTTCCTGAACCAGGTAAAACCCTTCTCCCTGGCTGAACCCCTCACAGGGAAGAGCCTCAGGAGCCAAGCACAGCCCTCCTCCCCTCACACCACAGCCACCTCAAGAGGTGGGTGTAACTTAATCCCAGGAGCTCATTCAGCCTTGGGCCTCTCTGCTGGGAGCCAACGTGGATGCTGCCTCCCACCACTGGGGAAGGTGTTTCCCCAAGTGTGAACCACCGTTTCCACAGGAATTGCCACGACCCCAACCAAAGCAATGCCAAGCAGCCAGCAACTCTGTGGCCCATAGAGGTGAGGAAGGGGATTAAACCTCCCTGTACCCACGGCCACCCCAACACGCTTCCCCCCCCTTCCCTGGGGTGAGGACGACCACGCTGAGAGCATGTACCTGGCGATGGGGCTCCGGCTCACGGAGCGCTTGGTGCCGAAGGGGCTGCTCGAGCGCCGGCGGCTGTAGGGGCTGGGGGACCTCCCGCTGTAGGACCCGCTGCCTCTCTCGTAGCTGGACGAACGCCTCCTGTTATAGGGGCTGATGGACCTCTGCCGCCGGCAGTAGGGGCTGGGGGAGCGGGTGTTGGACTGGTAGGCCACAGGCTCCTTGTAGGGCGGGCTGATGGACTGGCGGCGCGAGGAGCCGCCGGGGCTCTTCCTGTAGGAATCGTAGTTACTGGATGTGTGAGAGCGGGGAGGGCTGAGGTCGTATTCCTGGATGTAGGAGGCTCCTGAGGGGCTGTCATCCAGTTTCGGGCTGTCAGACCATTTCCTGTGAGGGCTTCTGGATTTCCGCTTGGGACTGTCAATGGTTTTGTAACTTTTGGGAGCATCCCTTTTCCGATGGCTTTTACTGCGCTCTTTGTGGCTGGACTTGAGCTCCCGATCCTTCCTGGATTTCTCCTTGTGCGCTTTGGCTGACCGGGATTCCTTGTTGCTACTCTTTGAGGACAATGACTTGGGATGCTCCTCAGCCTCTAGGAGTCTCTTGGAAGATCCCGATATTCTCTCCTTGGTGGACCCAGACCTACTGGAGGAATCCAGGCTCTTTTCCAACTTCCTCTCTTTCTCCGACTGTTTGCTCTTCATCAGCTCCCGGACGCGCTTGTGCTGATGGTGTCGGTGCTTCTGGACCCTCTCGCTCCTGTCCGTTTTCCTCTCCTCATTCTCCCTCCTATCCAGCTTGAGGGCCACATCATCCGAGAAGGTATCCGAATCCGAACTGATGTCATCGTATTCCACCAGCGGCTTCATCGTCGAGCCCAAGGATGCTGCGGCCTCCTGGGCCACCAGCGGGGACTCCCTGGAGTGCCTGGACTTGTGCCGCCGGTGCCGGGAGGCCGGCCGGTGCCTCTCCTTGCTGTTGGAGCTCCCGCTGCCGGGTGCGTGCTGCGAGGACCCCCCGCCGCCCCCGTCCTTCTTGCCCCCATGTCTCTCCGGGTTTGGCATTCCTCCTCCTCCACCGTGCTCCGGAGAGCGGAGGGGGAAGAAGCCTCCGAAACCCCCAAAACTTCCTCACACGCCCGCCCCTCGCACCATTCACCCCAGCCTCGGCCCTCCCTGCCGCCGACACCCCCCCGCCGCTCCTACATGGGGGAGCGCGGCCCCGCGGCTACGGGAGGCCCCGGAGGAGGCGGAAGGACGAGGGAAGGGGGCGGGGGGGAAGCAGGCACCGGGAGGGGAAGGGGACAGGGCCCGGCCTCACCGCCTCATCCAAGGGGCCCAGGCCCAGAGGGCAGCGCCGCGGCGGGGGCGCCCCGGGAAGGCGGGGCCTGGGCCCGCGAATCGCTCTCCACCCCCCTTCAGCACCGGGAGCCCGCGGATGGCGCCGCCGGAAGGAGCGCGGGCCCGTCCCGCCGCTGCCCCCGGTCCGGTCCCGTCCCGCCGCCGCCGCCCCCCGCTCACTTCCCAAAGCGAAACGGCTCCGCGTCCAAGGGGGGCAACCTCGGCAACTTCTCGCGAGACCCGGCCCCCTCTCGCGAGAGCAGCGGCGCCCCCGCCCCTCAGCCGGGTCCCGCGAGAACCTGGCGGGGTGATAAGGGTTGGGGGGGGCGGCGCGCACTCGATTTCTCGCGAGAGCTGCGCCGCTCCCACTGGAAGCCTATTGGACCGGGGGAGGGGGCGGAGCTTGCACGCACGCACCCCTCCCCGCGCGCACACGCTGCTCTCGCGAGAGGGAGCGAGACTCCCCTCCGCGCGCGCTCCCGCAGCCATGGCGGCCGCCGCCGTGTGAGGCCCGAGGGGCCCGGCCGCGGCTTTCCCCCTCCCCTTTCCCCAGCCCCGTTCCCCTTCCCCTCCGCTCCCCGCGGCCCCGCTGCTGGGCCGCACAGCCCCGCCCGCGGCATGAAGGCGGCGCCCGGCGGCGCTGAGGGTGAGTGAGGCGCTGGGGCTTCCCGCCGGCCCTGTGAGGAGACGGGGGGGGGGGGTGGTGGTGTCGGGTGTCTGAGGCACCGGTGACGGGCTGGGGCTGAGGGGCCTACACAGGAGGAGGAGGGGGGAGGGCCGTGGGCTTTCTCCGGCTTCCCCCCCCCCCCCCACCGGGCCTGTGTGGCTTCGTGCTGCGTTGGTGAGGCTGCAGCTGTGATGGGAGCTTCCCTGTGAGAGTGCTGAGGCGCTGGCACAGGGTGCCCAGAGAAGCTGTGGCTGCCCCATCCCTGGCAGTGTTCAAGGCCAGGTTGGACACAGGGGCTTGGAGCAAGCTGCTCTATGGAAGGGGTCCCTGCCCGTGGCAGGGGTTGGAGCTGGGTGAGCTTTAAGGTCCCTTCTAACCCAAACTGAGCTGGGGTTCTGTGCTCTTGCAGTTCTCTCCCTGTGCTTAACAGGATCTTATCAATGCATAAACACCTTGAGGAGAGCCTAAAGCAGGGGGAGCAGAGCTCCCTTCAGGTGGGAACTATAGGCCATGGGTGCAAGCTGAAAGGTTCCACCTGAGCACCATGAAACACTTTATCACCAGCACAGAGGTGTGATGGAAGCTCCATCCTGAAGCCACCAGGACATGGGGCTGGGGAGCCTGTTGTCAGTGGCCAGGAGTCCTCAACCGTGTTAGCTGAACCAGCCAGTGTTTGGTCTTTGGTTAGTCACTGACTCTCTGTCCATTCTTTTCTCTCATCAGAGAGATATTCTTTCCTGTGAGGGTGCTGAGGCACTGGAATGGGTTGCCCAGGGAGGTTGTGAATGCTCCATCCCTGGCAGTGTTCAAGGCCAGGCTAGACAAAGCCTTGGGTGCCATGGTTTAGTGTGAGGTGTCCCTGCCCATGGCAGGGGGGTTGCAACTGGATGATCTTAAGGTCCTTTCCAACCCAAACTATTCTATGATTCTATATTATTCCTAAGAGTGGAGCTTTCTCTAATAGCTTGTAGACCCACGCATTGCAGATGGGAGTCTATGGGATGGGAGAGGTGTTTTGTAAGCGTGAGTTGGTTGAGATTTGTGCCCCCTCCAGTTGCCTGCTGCTGCTTTCAGAGCCGTGCCCTGGCTCTAGAGCAGCACAGAGGAGCCTCCAAGCTTGTGTCTCACACCAGCGTGGGGCAGTGTGTCTGCTCACAGAACCCATCACAACTGGCAGTTGGACCAATGTGGTTGAGGTTTTTGGTGAGGGAAGGGTCTGTGAGGATCTTCAATGTAAACAAGCTGGAGGATTGGATGTGAGAATGGTGATGGCGAATGCAGGAAACAGAGCTTAACCTCACTTCTGTAACAGTGTTTTGTACACTGTTACACTGCCTCAGACCATGTATCTTCATTTTATGGTCCTTGAGGTTTTGACAGCTTGTGATAGAGCCTACGTATTGAGCTCATGGGGAGAAATCAGCAGTGAATACATTTTATGAAATCACATTTAGCTTCAAGGTGGAAAGGCTTTTCATTCCAACTGCCCGGCTGTTTTATTTGTAGCACTTCGAGTGTTGTCTTCTTCTATGTTCTCAAGAGTGCCCTGTCTTACAGAGACGGAGAAGCTGAACAAGATGAGCACCCTCTTGGAAAGACTCCATGCAAAGTACAACCAGAACAGGCCCTGGACAGAAACCATGAAGTTAGTGCGTCAAGTCACGGTGAGAGGTGCTTTCTGGAGCTCCTGGAGTGGCAGTGGTGGTGTTGCTTTGTTAGATCTCTTCAAAGGGCTGCCCCTTGCTCTTTGGGGATCTTGGGGTTTGTAAAGCAATTTGCTCCCATTCAGTGATGTTCCAAACTCGGCGCTGGCTTTGGCAAATGAGGGTTTGAAATAGTGGGAGGAAGGAGGAGCAGGAGGCAGGGGAGAGCTACAACAGCAGCTTCTACGTGCACTGAGGTGTTAAAAGTGTGCCTGACTCCTTGTTTCTGTGTTGTCTCTCGTGTAACTCTTAGCTTATGCCTATTTAAAAGGTGCTCCAGTCTGTTCTTCCAGATGAGCAAGTTGCTTAAAAGCAAATAAATCAATCCCAGGCCTGCTTTTGTTCCCTTCTTCCAAAGCAGATAGTGTTCTCCTACAGGAATCAAAATGCAGCTGTAATTTGGGGAGGAAACTAATCAGCTTTTCATTACTTCAACAAACCTCCCTTGACTGAACTGTGATGGCAATAACTCCTGCTACTGAGTGAGGCACAAAAAGCTGTTTCTCTTCTCTCTGACCAAGGAAAAGCGCGTTGTGATGAACTCAGGGGGCCACCAGCACCTGGTGAGCTGCTTGGAGACACTGCAGAAGGCCTTGAAAGGTTGGTGCATCCTGTGCTCAGCAGTTGGAGGCCCCCAAACCAGGAGAGCAGTGAAGTGGCTGCTGGCACATCTCACCGTGTTCCTCCTGTGTGTGTGCTTATGTTTGGGCACCTCCTCTCTGTGCCTATGGAGACTCTCTGTGGTGCTTCTGTTGTGAAAGGAGAAAACTTGTGAGTGGGAAGTACTAAAACGTGGAATGGTGAAAGGAATGGCTTTAGTTCCCTTTTTTGCACCTGTATGAGAGTTTGAACTTGCTCTTTACATCGGCCTGGCCACTCTTCTGAAAACAGACCTGAATTCCACTGGGGGAATAAAATCCCTTCTCTCCTTGCAGTTCTGGGAACGTTTGGTTCTCTCTGTTCAAGCTGTTCTGCCTGTGTTTTGAGTGCAGCTCATGTTGCACATGTGAAGGTGTGAGCAGACGTGGGAGGGAGGAACTGGTTGAGGTTGGGTTTAATGCTGATGTCTCATTCCTGGGGAGGTGTTGAATCGTTTCACTAAGCCTTGTTTTCTGCTCTCCCCATCTAGTATCTTCTCTGCCTGCCATGACAGATCGCCTGGAGTCTATAGCTAGACAAAATGGGTAGGTCTTCTCCTTTAGTTGACAGCAAAGGCTTTCCCTGTTCCTCTGCACCCATCATGCTCTCACTGCTGCTTTGGTTGGGTTTTGTGTGCATCTCATGGCAATTTTTGTTTTGGTTCCTATGGAAGGCTGGGATCTCACCTTAGTGCCAATGGCACTGAATGTTACATCACTTCAGACATGTTCTATGTGGAAGTCCAGTTAGATCCTACAGGGCTGCTGTGTGATGTCAAGGTGGCTCACCATGGAGAAAACCCTGTGGTATGTATCACTGACCAAGGTGAGGGTGATGTCTGCGTGGTTTTGACTCCCTTTGCTTTGAGCACAGGAAATGGATTATATTTAATGTTTCCCTGCACCTACCTTACACCTTTACTGCTTGTTCTAGTGGCAAGGGAAATCCTCCATGGAGTAATTCCTGTGGGTTAGCCTGGTTGATGTATGTGTGCGGAACCAGTTTACTGCTGGTCTTTCTTTCCCTCTGAGTGGTTTTACAGCTGCCAAAATCAGCTGTGGACATTTTCACTGTGTTTCTGGAAGCAGGATATGGAAAATAAGCTTAGAAAACTGAGATCTGCAGATGGGAAGTACAAAAATGTGGCATGCTGAAAGGAAATTATTTTCCTCCTGTACACGGAGGAGAGTTTGAATTTGATGCTTGTATTGTCCACTCTTCTGAGAACAGAGCAGTTTTTAGTACCTCTGTATAGAAGATCACAGTTTTCAACTGAAAGCTTCATGATTTCAAAAGTTTATTTCAAATGAGTTGTTTAAGCAGAAAGAGAAGTGCTTAAATCTGTCCTAGAGGAGCTGAGGGACAGAGCTGGAGCTGGAGCAGTGTGGAGTTGTGAGCACTGTGTTGCTGCTCAGGAAAAGCTGCTGCTCAGGAATGTTCCTGTGCTGATGTTTCACAGTTGCTGTGCTGCACAGGGACTGAAATCACTGTGCTGACACTGATCTCATTCTGTCTTCTTCCCTTTCCAGAGCTGTCCAGAACTGGTGCAACATCTGAGGTGAGCATCAGGAGTTTGTTGCGTTTTTGGCAGCCTCTCTTTGCAGTAGTGATCCCACGCTGGTTTAGGTCTGGAAACGCAAAATGTTTCCTTCCCCACAAAGTCTCTCCGTGCCTTCAGGGGGTTTTCTGGCTTTGGTTCACCTCCTCCTGATCCTGAGTGCTGTGCCCAGTATCTTCAAAGCCACAGGGCAACATTCCCCAGCCTCAGTAAAGCTGGACCATGCTGAGAATATATTTTGTAGCTTCCATGTAGCAAAAGTGTCTTCTGAAGTGACTTAGTGTCTGTATTAATGTCACCTTTTAAAACAAACCCTTGTGTGTTACAAGTTTGAATACATCTTAACTTTGCCTTTCAGAGAGAAGAACTTTGATGAGTTTTCTAAGCATCTGAGAGGACTGGTGAACCTGTATAAGCTGCCAGGAGACAAGTAAGTCTAGGATGTATTTATTTACTGCCACATATATAAAATAAGTGGGCAAGTTTTACTTCTGTGCTTAAATATTCATTGTGTGTGAGCCCCCTGACCTCCCTACCACAGCTTGCAGTGAGTAGGGAGGGTTTCATGTGAAGTGGAGCTGCAGAGTGACAAGTGATCCAAGTCTAAAGGCTCAGGCTGATGGCAAGGCCTTCTTTGCACAGTTCCTTTCCTTTGTTCTGACATTGTTTTGTTGTTTTATTTCTCCCCAGCAAACTGAAAACTAAAATGTACTTGGCTCTGCAGTCCTTAGAGTTGGATCTCTCAAAAATGGCAGGGATGTACTGGTAAGGACCTCTGTGTGGTTTGGGGTTTGTTGTTGGTTTGGGTTTTCTTACTAACACTGCATCACGTGGGCTGATTCTGATTGTGCCACATACTGCTTATGTGGGAAGTGTCCCGTCAGTGCCTGTCTAGTCTGTCATTGCTGCTAAGAAGATGCTGAGGCTATAGAGGGCCTGTGGGAGCAAGGGAATGAGAAAGAGAGAAAAAGTGCTTAGAGCTTTCTAGCAATTCCTTCTTAACTGCAGAACTCGATTGCAAGAAAGTCTAAAAGGCAAAACATGAAGTTTGTAGCTGGCTGGATTAGTGGTAACACGGTTTACAGTAAGAAACTGAGAACCATTTGACCTTCTTATACTGCTGTAGAGCCTGGGCAAACAGCCGTGCTGTGAAGTTTAAGGTCAGTGGGACTGGAGTTTGGTTTCAGGTATGACTCTGGCTTGTTACAGACTTGTGGTCGCCTTTCTTGCAGGCAAGCCACCAACGCCAACCCCTTGGACAAGATTCTCCATGGCAGCGTTGGCTATCTCACCCCCAGGAGCGGAGGTACCTTTGAGTAGTGCTTATAAAAGGAAAGAATCAAACTTACTTTGTTCAGAGTCCCCTTTATGGACTTTGGTTTCACCTGAACTGCTGGAAATTAATGGGCCATGCCAAGCAAAGAGGGACAGGGTTGACAGGGTTGAGTGTTTGTGACTCCCACGTCATGCAGAGGTCCAGCTTTGCTTTACAAAGCCACGCAGATGGACACGTGTGGATCTGCCAGCAGAGCACAGCTCTTCAAGGCCACAGCTCTGCTCAGTGTGTGCTGTGGCTCAGTGTGAATGCTGTGTGGCTGTGGGGGTTAATAGTGCTCGGGGTGACTTGTACCCTCAAGTTCAGCAGCTTCTCTCCCACAGGTCTCCTGATGAACCTCAAATATTACGTCTCACCCTACGATTTGTTTGAAGATGGCTCTGGAGCCCCTGTTATTTTACATGAGAACAATGGTAGGTCAGCTTCAGTGAGGGCTACTGCTGCTTAGAGGAGAAAAGAAGACAACTCTAGCAGTCTCACTGCCCTCTGCTGTCACCCTGTCACACAGGACAGTCATGGGTTGACTTGCAGAGGACATGGGTTCAATAAGCCTGTGTGGAAATGCTGGTGACCATCTTCTCGTGGGTGTTCTGGAGTTCAAACTAGACTGCTACCAAAGGGGATGGGGTGCACACAGAGCCTTTTTCCTTAGGGTGAACTTCATCCTTAACATGGGTTCTGTTTTATTGTGTTTCTGCCATCTTACTAGAAGGTGAAGTTCTATGCATGGACATGGATATCTGTGTCTCACTGAAATGACAAAACCAAGCAGCTATTCAAGCTGAGGCTGCTCGTGGGAGAGGAGAGGGTGAAAGTGTCCGAAATCATGGTTTGTTTTGCATTGTAAAGAACATACTGCAAACTTACAAATGTATTTGGAGTCTCTTTTAAGAATGATGCAATTGGTTCACCTTGCAAGAGAAAAACAGAACATTAGGGAGTAAAAGTAGTTTGGCTGTAGGTCAGTTTAGTGATAAAGTGAATGCTGGAAGCTGCCTGGTGGAGGAAGTAAGGTATTTCAAGGGGGGAATGGCCTTAACCTGCCAGAGGGGAGACTGAGATGAGCTCTTAGGCAGAAGCTCTTCCCTGGGAGGGTGCTGAGGCGCTGGCACAGGGTGCCCAGAGAAGCTGTGGCTGCCCCATCCCTGGCAGTGTTCAAGGCCAGGTTGGACACAGGGGCTTGGAGCAAGCTGCTCCAGTGGAAGGGGTCCCTGCCTGTGGCAGGGGGTTGGAACTGGATGAACTTTAAGGTCCCTTCCAACCCAAACCACTGTGTGACTCCATGATTTCCACATAGTGATGTTTCTCACATAAAGCTGCTCTGGGTTTATCGTTGTGTTTGTTTCTTGCTCCCTCTCGCAGTCCCTCGCTCGCTGGGGATGAACGTGTCGGTCACCATTGAGGGCACCATGGCCATGTACAAACTTCCAATCGCCCCACTCATCATGGGCTCCCATCCAGTTGACAGCAAAGGGTAAGCAAAGGACACAGTGCTCAGCACCCTGGTTTTGGTTGCACGTTCAACACTCAGGCCCCTGTTGGAGTCAGAGTGGGGAGATGGCTGTGTGATGTCAGTGCATCATGGCACTGTCTTTAGCCAAGAAATCCCTATTTCAGGCATGTGACATGCTTTTGAGGAGTACTTTAGTTGGTAAGAAGGTCTAACAGCCTGCTTGGGTTGGAGCAAACAGGAAATTGGCTGGGTGGTGTTGGCAGCAGAAGCCACAGCCATGCCCTGTGTCTGATAAGGTCCTGTGTTAACCACTCTTTCAGAACTCCGTCGTTCTCGTCCATCACTAGTGCCAACAGTGTGGATCTACCAGCTTGTTTCTTCCTGAAATTCCCACGTCCCATCCCAGTGTCTCGAGCTTTCATTCAGAAGCTTCAGGGCTGCACAGGTGGGTGGCAGATCTGTCTCATAGCTGCTCCTCAGCTTTTTATTCATAAACTGCTGCTTGTTTTGAATGTGTGACAGAAAAATTGCTTGAGGTTTTATGCTGTTGTCAGGAAAACCTGGGTAGGTTTCCTCTGTGGTAACACCTTCTGTGGCCCACCTTCTCCTTCTGGCTCCCTGGTGCTATCATTCTGTGCCATCTTGTGCCCTCAGGTATTCCGTTGTTCGACACACCACCAACATTTGTGCCCTTGTATGAGCTGATCACGCAGTTTGAGTTATCCAAGGAGGCTGATCCAGTACCTTTAAACCACAATATGCACTTCTATGCAGTAAGTATCTTGTTACAACCAATCACTGGAATTCAGATACAAACCACAGTAATTAGAATTATAGAATCCCAGCCTGGTTTGGGTTGGAAGGGACCTTAAAGCTCATCCAGTCCCAACCCCTGCCACGGGCAGGGACCCCTTCCACTGGACCAGCTTGCTCCAAGCCCCTATGTCCAACCTGGCCTTGAACACTGCCAGGGATGGGGCAGCCACAGCTTCTCTGGGCACCCTGTGCCAGTGCCTCAGCACCCTCCCAGGGAAGAGCTTCTGCCTAAGAGCTCATCTCAGTCTCCTGTTAGAAGCAGGAGAAATCCTAATTCTTAAATTTGTCAGTGGTGGATCTCTTCTTAACTTCAGAGGGTTTCTCTCTACATCTCAAGGGCTGCTGCACTGTATGAAAGCAGTTTAGTGGGGACAATGAGTACTGTTCAGCTCTGATACTTCTGAGGAGCCAAAAAACGTGTTTTGTTTGTTCAGATTGGAAGGCTGTGTCTTCCTTGTTACTCATTTCACCCAGAAAGGTGGCTTTGATGTCCCTTCCATCTGGGGCTTGCTTTTCCTTCCTGGAGGTCTGTTACTGCCTTGTACTCAGCAGGAGTTGGAGTAAAGCAGGAATTGTTTGTCAGGCTCTTCCAGGACAGCAGCACTGTTACTTTCTGAACAAAGATGCTCCTCTCCCAGATGGAAGAAGCCTCCAAGGAACTCTGATCAGTAAAATCGCCTTCCAGCACCCAGGCCGGGTCCCACTCATCCTCAGCCTCATCCGGCACCAGGTGGCCTATAACACCCTCATCGGCAGCTGTGTCAAGAGGACAGTGCTGAAGGAAGGTGGGTGCAGCAGGTGGGGATGGGGAACCCTGGGTGATGGGCCCAGGAAATGAGGTCTATGCTTTCCTTTTCCCTCTGCTTTTCCCTTTCTTTCTATATGGGAGCATCGAGCTGGTGACTGGTTCGTGCTCTGTGTTCCTTAGTTGAACAGCTCCCATGTCCCCGTGTCTTTCAGATTCCCCTGGGATCCTGCAGTTTGAAGTCTGCCCACTCTCTGACTCCTGTTTCAGTGTCTCCTTTCAGCATCCCGTGAATGACTCCCTGGTCTGCGGTAAGTGGAATCAGGAGGAGCCAGGAGTGTGTTTATGGGAAGGGTGGCAAAGTTCCCTTCCACTGCAACCAGGAGTTTGATCCCTTCCAACCTCCTCCTCTCTTGTAGTGGTAATGGATGTGCAGGACTCCACGCATGTGAACTGTAAGCTCTACAAGGGGCTGTCTGATGCTCTGATCTGTACAGATGATTTCATTGCCAAGGTTGTGCAAAGGTAAGCCAAGGGTTTCTGTGCCCCCAGGAACTCCAGCTCATACAATGTACTCTGTGTCAATCTCATGTTTACCCCAATGGGTTTGGAGCTGTCCTGTGTGGGGGTGAGTCTTGGGAGTGGTTGTTTGGATGAGAGGAAAGCTGGAGCCCTATTGAAAACCCCATTCCAGGCATTCAGCTGTAGCTTCTTGTATTTGAATGCATGTCCAGGTGCTTTCTCATGGGGGTGGCTGCTTTCTGAGTCTTAGAAGACGTGGAATAGCTCCCAGCAGTTTGTCTTTACACAGACCTTTCACCAGGGTTCCTCTACTGTTCAGAACACAGCAGAATGGGAGCAGGGCACTGCACAGGCCTTTGCAGTGAGAATAGCTGCTTCTGCTTGCAGAACATTAGAGGCTCAGCTCTCTTAGCCTGGCTCCAGAGTAGAGCTGCTCCGGTCCTTGCAGCATCTCCATGGCCTCCTCTGGGCTCGCTCAAACAGCTCCATGTCCCTCTTGTGCTGTTGCCTCAGAACTGGACACAGCACTGCAGGGGGATCTCCCCAGAGCAGAGCAGAATAGAGAGGGAGAATCAAGTTGTGATAAGGTCTTGTTGACCATGGCCATTGGGCAGCAGAGCGCACACTGACCCCTTTGTGTTGTGTCTTGCAGGTGTATGTCCATCCCTGTCACCATGAGAGCAATCCGGAGGAAAGCAGAAACCATTCAGGCTGACACACCAGCCTTATCCCTCATTGCAGAGACAGTCGAAGATATGGTGAAGAAAAACCTCCCCCCAGCCAGCAGCCCGGGGTATGGCATGACCACAGGCACCAACCCCCTGAGTGGTACCACTACCCCAACCAACACTTTTCCTGGGGGGCCCATCACTACTTTGTTTAACATGAGCATAAGCATGAAAGAGAGGCATGACTCGGTGGGGAGCCATGGGGAGGACTTCAGCAAAGTGTCTCAGAACCCAATTCTCACCAGTTTATTGCAGATCACAGGCAATGTGGGCTCAGCCCTTGGCTCAAGCCCAACCCCTCCCCACCACACACCACCACCAGTATCCTCCCCAGCAAGCAACACCAAGAACCACCCCATGCTCATGAACCTTCTGAAGGAGAATCCCCCTCAGGATTTCTCCAGCCTCTATGGGAGCAGCCCTCTGGAAAGGCAGAACTCTTCCTCTGGCTCCCCCCGGATGGAAATTCCTGGGGGGAATAAGCAGAAGAAAAAAAAGTCCCGCGTGCCAGCCGACAAACCCAAGCACCAGACTGAGGATGACTTCCAGAGGGAGCTCTTCTCAATGGATGTTGACTCCCAGAACCCCATTTTTGATGTCAACATGACTGCAGATACCCTGGACACCCCCCACATTACTCCAGCCCCCAGCCAGTGCAGCACTCCTCCTGCTACGTACCCCCAGCCCATCCCTCACACGCAGCCCAGCATTCAGAGGATGGTTCGGCTCTCCAGCTCGGACAGCATCGGTGCCGACGTCACCGACATCCTCTCGGACATAGCAGAGGAGGCTTCCAAGCTCCCCCCCACCACTGAGGACTGTCCACCCATTGGTACTCCAGTGAGGGACTCTTCCAGTTCAGGCCATTCCCAGAGTGCCCTCTTTGATCCAGATGTGTTTCAGAGCAACGCCAGCGAGAACCCCTACACGGACCCTGCGGACCTGATCGCGGACGCTGCCGTCAGCCCCAACAGTGATTCCTCCAACCATTTCTTTCCCGATGGTGTAGATTTCAACCCTGACTTGCTCAACAGTCAGAGTCAGAGCGGCTTCGGGGAGGAATACTTTGATGAGAGCAGCCAGAGTGGAGACACGGATGATTTCAAGGGTTATGCATCCCAGGCTCTTACTACTTTGGGGGTGCAAGTGTTGGGGGGCGATGGGGGGGACAATAAATTCAAGGGGAGCACTCAGTCTGACACGGTAGACTTCAGTATTATTGCAGCTGCAAGCAAAGCACTGGGGTCCTCGGACATCATGGAGCACCACAGCGGAGGGCAGAGCCCTCTGCTGAACACAGGGGATTTAGGGAAAGAGAAGTCTCAGAAACGGGTAAAGGAAGGCAATGGCTCTGGAAGTAACATGGCAGGAGCCGGGATAGACGGGAAGCCTGGGAAGCGGAGCCGGACGCCCTCCAGTGATGGCAAAAGTAAAGAGAAACTTCCCAAGCGGAAGAAGCAGGAGACAGATGGGAAATCCCCGTCTCACAGTTCATCCAACAGGCCTTTCACACCACCAGCAAGCACAGGTGGGTCCAAATCTCCTGGGAGCTCGGGCAGATCTCAGACTCCTCCTGGTGTAGCTACTCCTCCTATCCCCAAAATCACCATTCAGATCCCAAAAGGAACAGTGACTGTTGGCAAACCGTCTTCGCACGGCCAGTACACAAGCAGTGGCTCCGTCACCTCCTCCAGCGGCAAAAGCCATCACAGCCATTCTTCCTCCTCCTCCTCTTCTTCCTCCTCTTCAACCTCAGGCAAGATGAAAAGCAGCAAATCGGAAGGGTCTTCAGGCTCCAAGATGAGCAGCAGCCTCTACTCGGGCCAAGGCAGCTCGAGTTCAGGGCAGTCCAAAAGCTCAGCCCAGTCAGTGGGAAAACCGGGATCCTCCCCCATCACCAAACACGGCCTCAGCAGCGGCTCTGGGAGCACCAAGATGAAACCTCAAGGGAAGCCATCGTCACTTATGAACCCGTCCATGAGTAAACCAAACATCTCCCCATCTCACTCGAGACCCTCGGGAGGTTCTGAGAAGCTTGCTTCTCCCATGAAACCAGTCCCAGGTACTCCGCCATCATCTAAAGCGAAGTCACCGATCAGTTCAGGGTCTGGAGGCTCCCACATGTCTGGGACTGGCTCAAGCTCAAGTATGAAGTCGTCTTCAGGAATGGGATCCTCTGGGTCGATGTCTCAGAAACCACCTCCTTCATCGAATTCCTCGACGGCGTCCTCATCTTCCTTTTCATCCAGTGGGTCTTCCATGTCTTCGTCTCAAAACCAGCATGGAAGCTCCAAAGGCAAGTCTCCAAGCAGAAACAAGAAGCCATCTCTGACTGCAGTCATAGACAAGCTTAAACATGGGGTTGTCACTAGCGGGCCTGGTGGAGATGACCCAATGGATGGACAAATGGGGCCAAGTTCCAATTCCTCAAGCCATACGATGTCCTCCAAACACAACATGTCTGGAGGGGAGTTCCAGGGCAAACGTGAGAAGAGTGACAAAGAGAAATCTAAAGTCTCTGTTTCTGGGGGATCTGTTGACTCTTCCAAGAAAACTTCGGATTCTAAAAGCGTTGGAAGCACCGGCGTGGCCAAAATCATCATCAGCAAACACGATGGTGGTTCCCCCAGCATTAAAGCCAAAGTCACTTTGCAGAAACCTGGGGAAGGAGGTGGGGACAGCCTCAGGCCTCAGATGGCTTCTTCCAAAAGCTATGGGTCCCCTCTCATCAGCGGCTCGACCCCAAAGCACGAGCGCTGCTCTCCCAGCCACAGCAAGTCGCCTGCATACACTCCCCAGAACATCGACAGCGAGAGCGAGTCGGGCTCCTCCATAGCAGAGAAATCCTACCAGAACAGCCCCAGCTCCGACGATGGCATCCGGCCCTTACCCGAGTACAGCGCCGAGAAACACAAGAAGCATAAAAAAGAGAAGAAGAAAGTGAAGGACAAAGACCGGGACAGGGAGCGGGAGCGGGAGAAGGACAGGGACAAGAAGAAGTCGCACAGCCTGAAGCCAGAGAGCTGGTCCAAGTCGCCCATCTCAGCTGAGCAGCCTCTGGCCATGGGCAGCAGCTCCATCCTTGCTTCCGAGCGTCCGCCCCGTGCCAGCCCCGAGTTCCTCATCGGGGAGGAGGACGATGATCTGATGGATGTGGCTCTGATTGGTAACTAATATCCCTAATGCCTGGAAGAAATGAGCTCTTGCAGGCTCTCCAGGTTCCACATCCCCCTGCAAACCTGCTGCGCTGCTCAACAGGCTGTGTGTGAAAAGGGGGGAACAAAAAGTATTCCCAAGGATCTCCAAAGACAAAGGAAAGCACCAGTGCCAGCAGCTCCCTCGGGATCCAGGTCCTGACTGTGGCCTTCACCCTGCTGGCGCTTACACTTGGCTTTAATAAGTATTAATAACCCCGTTAGAGTTCAATGGGTGTGAAGCAAAGTGTATGGGAACAGACCCCAGAGTGGTGCAAGCGGAATCGGGCTGTTCTGAGTCCCTCTTTCCCTCATCCCACTTGGAATCAAGTCGCTTTTTTATCAAGGAAGTTTGATGTTAGGGCTGGATTTTTAAAGGGTGATTGGAAGGAAAAGAAAACAATAAGGTCTGATATGATTCTTGTGGCATTTCTTCATTCAATGCCCAAGCCAGTGTGGGGCTGAGCAACTTCAGCTTCCCCAGATCTGAATCCTGCTCCGTGCTCTGGTGGACTGCAGGATTCAATTCCCAGCCTGGTGATGAAGGACTGCTGTCTGTGTTGGACTTCCCTGCTGGTTTAGCTATTTATTCAGGTGCCAGGATGCCTCAGTTCTACTGGTGTGGTGCAGAGCCCAGAGAGCCTCAGGAACTGGTGAAGTTGTGGAATGTGTTGGAGCAGATCTGAATGGAAAAGGGACTCTGTTGCCTTCAGCCTGGAGCTTCCCCCACTGCATCCCTGGAGCTGTGACCTGCATCCTGGTCCTGCCCACAGTGCTTCCCCGCTATGGATGCTTCCAGTGATGGCAATAGGATGCCTTGTGCATGGTCATGGCCACAGACAGGGCTTGTCCCGATTCGTGAACCCTCCAGGGTTTCATGTGGGGGTTTGCTTTGTTTTCCTTTTGTTTCTGGTGATTCTGGTACCACTCACAAGTGCTGCTGCCTCATATCCCTGCTGGAAAAGCACCCCTGGCTGCCCCTCCTGGGAACAGAGCTGGGGCAGAGCAGGGATTTCCCTCAAAGATGGCAATTTTTCCTCTTTTGGCTGGAATTGGGAGCATGACTCAGGCATCCTTTATGGTCTTATCTTGTGGTCCCTGAAAGGAAAAGAGACTCAGGAGAGGGTTTTATTTTGCCAAGCAGTTCAGTGTGATTCACTGAGGAGGAATGCAGGAAATGAGAGCTCTGGGAGCACATCTTCTGAATCATGTACCTGCTCCCAGGGGGTTTTGCTATTGATTCCCAGAAGCCAGGGTTTTCCCAGTGGGATTGGGATGAAACTTGATGTTTTGGGGAAGATTCCACAGAGATTCCTAGTCCGCTCCCAGCAAGTTGCTGCTTTAAAGCTTATTCAAAGCTTTTAATTGTAGGGATTTTCCACCTCTTCCTCCTGCCTTCAGTGGAATTCCAGTGGAATTCAGGATCCTGAATTTCCCCAAGCCCCTGCATTGCTTTCCCTTGTATTTCCCACCATTTCCTCTTCCTGGTTTGCAGCCTGTAGCTTCCCCTTTCAGATCTCCCATGCACCAAGAAGATGGGAATGTGGTAAATCAAAGGAAGTCAGAGTCAGCCTGTTGGAGCTGTGGGATTGCAGAGGATGGAGGGAAGAAACTCATCCGGGATTGCAGCTCCAGACCCCCTGGACATGGTCTTCCTGGAAGCAGGAAGTGGATCCGGCTCCCCCTCTTTGTGTGCTGGTTTTGGGGGGGAGTTATTGAGTTGTTTTGTTTTCCAGAGCCCTTTGAGCTGCTCTGCGATGGGTGAAGGTGTAAAAGCAGTGTTCAGTCAGCGCTGGGGATTTCAGGGGGGGGTCTTTGGACTTGGCCTTTTCCTGCTCTGAATCACGCTGGTAATTCAAGGGAACGCCGCTCAGTGTCAGAATAACCACACCGATGGGTTGGAAAGCAGTGATCTCACCCAACCAAAGCTCAGTATCCTGAATATCTCCTCTTGGGAACCACATCTCCTCTCAGAGAGCACCATGGCAGCAATTTAACTCTTTTTACCCCATTTTGGTGCCCCGTTTTCCCTGCCTCATCCCTTTCCCATGACATAAATCATGTGACAGAGACAGACCAGAGCCGTGCTTAGGGGTGAGCTCTGACCCTGTGGCTGTTCGGTCTGTGACAAAAAGGTTTATTTTTAATAGATCCCTTGCCTTCTGTGGGACGATTATTTTACATCTTTCAGTATTGGAAAGAGAAAACCCTGCCAAAGGTGCGAACAAGACCGAAGCCGAACGGATCCCGGGTGTTGGAGGGGCCCCGGGGGCTGGAGGACAACGCGCTGGTGGTGTAAATACGCGGCTGGGTTTGTAACGGCGCCTTTTTGGGGGGCAATACCGCGGAGAAACGCGTTTCTTTACACGCCAATAAACCCCTTTTGGTACACGGCGGTGCGTGCTGCCTGCGGCGCGGGGAGAGGGGGAGTCCCGCCACGCTTGATTTTCCCGCGGGGATGACATCACCGTGACGCCACGCCAGCCTCACCCTCCGATTGGCCAAACTCCGCGGAAGGAGCGGCGGGGCAAGGTGGGGGGGGGGGACGACACCCCCTAATTCCCACCCTCCCCACACCGGGACCCCCCCATCCCCGCCGTGCCCCTAACGGGGAGGGGGGCGATAGGACCCGGGGGGGGGAGGCGGTGGCTTATGGGGTAGGTGGGGGCTCGTTCTTGCCGGCGCTGGCCAATGAGCGTGCGCGTTGCTGGCAGGTGCGGAGTGTTTTTGTTTTGGGTTGAAGTTGAGGCCGGAGCAGGCGCGGCGGGCGGAGGCCGCGGAGCACCGGGACCCCCCCCCCGGGACCCCAACCCCGCTCCGGCCCCGCCATGCGGAGGGACATGAACGGTGTCACCAAGAGCCGCTTTGAGGTGAGGCCGGGGACATGGCGGGGTACGGGGACGGGAGGGGAGGGGAGGGGGGGTGCGGAGCGGAGGACAGGGCCGCAGCGTGAGGCCCTTCACGGTGTTGGTGTGTGGGGAGAGCCCCCCCCAACCCGGGACAACCGGGTGGTGTAAGGGGGGGCATTGTGTGAATGGGGCTGGGGGGGGGGTAAATAGGGCCTGGCCATGTGTGGTTATGGGGGGTTTGGGGGGATGCAGGGTGGGCTGTATATGGGGGGGGATAAACTGCCTTCCCCCACCAGGGCTATCGGTCGTTGAGGTGCTGTTGTAACATGGGGGGGGGGGCATTGTGTGAATGGGGCTGGGGGGGTTTAAACAGGCCCTGTCCACGCGTGGTTATGGGGGGGGTGTAGGGCAGGTTGGATGCTTGTATGGGGCGGGGGGGGGGGTTATAAACGGCTTTGCCCCACCAGGACAATCGGTCATTGAGGCGCTGTTGTAACACGGGGGGGGGGCTTAAACAGGCCCTGTCCACGCGTGGTTATGGGGGGGGTGTAGGGCAGGTTGGGTGCGTGTATATGGGGGGGTATAAACGGCTTTGCCCCACCAGGACAATCGGTCATTGAGGCGCTGTTGTAACACGGGGGGGGCTTAAACAGGCCCTGTCCACGCGTGGTTATGGGGGGGGTTGGGGGGGTGCAGGGTGGGCTGTATGGGTATATGGGGGGGGTATAAACTGCTTTCCCCCGCCAGGACAACCGGTTGTGAGGCACTGTTGTAACACGGGGGGGGGCACTGTGTGAATGGGGCTTGGGGGGGTTAAACAGGCTCTGTCCACGCGTGGTTATGGGGGGGGTGTAGGGCAGGTTGGATGCGTGGGGGGATATAAAGTGCTTTGCCCCACCAGGACAATCGGTCGTTGAGGTGCTGGTGTAACACGGGGGGGGGGGGGCATTGTGTGAATGGGGCTGGGGAGGCTTAAGCGGGCCCTGTCCGTGTGTGACTGGGGGGGGGATGGACACACTCGGGCTGTGACCCGTGCTGCGGATGTACATATATATATGGGGGGGTATAAACTGATTTCGCCGCCCCCCCCCCCCCCGTAACCTTCTTCCGGGGGGGGCAACATGTTGCTGGCATCGAGTTGGTGGGGATGTGGGCAAACGGGAATGGGAATTGGGGATGGGGGGGGCGCAGCGCGTTGTTATTTGGGCAGTAGCCGGGAAAAGGACGGAAGGAGCGGAGGGGGGAACAATGAGATCTATTGAGAGGCGATGGCACAAAGCGGGTGCGAGCCGGGGCTGCTCCCGGCTCCGCATTGTTGTCACCGCGGGTGCGCTGGAGGAAGCTGTTGTGGAGGATGCAGGGACCTGCCCGCTCCTTCCCCTGCACCGCCGGGCTCCGGGCTGAGCGCAGCACGGCAGGAAACGAGCCCGGAACGGTGGAGATGTGGCCTTGTTCTCCCCGTCCTAGAGAGAGGGCTGGGAAGCCCGGGTTAATGATAAACCGCAGTGGCCAGATCCACCCCGGTTCAGCGCTGGAAGCTCGTCCTGGAGCCGAGCAAGGTGCAGCCAATACGAGTCGTCGTTTCACCCAGGGAATGAGTCCGAGCCTCTGTGGAACCCGCGGATGGGGAGCACTGTGGTGGCTCAGGGTGATTTGGGGTTAAATGCTGGTAAATCTGTGTTTCTGCAGCATCCGGATGAACCCGGCTGCTCCCGACGCGGCGGCTGCGCGCCGAGCGGCTCATCCCGGGTTGTTGTTGTTGCTGTTGTTCCTGTTCTAGGCTGTTCCTGCCTGCACGGGAGCTTTGTGCCTTTCCTCTCCCAGAGCCTTGCCTCTTGCTGCAGAGGGGCTGTTGTAGGGCAGGGGCAGGATAAAACCACACTGGGGGCAGTGTGCTCGGGGCTTAGTCCTCTGGAAACACCGGAGTTCATCCCATATTGGGTCTGGAGCAAAACGAGATTCCTTGGGGAAGAAGTGGGGGGGGAAAAGCATCCTTTGGTTTGCTTTGAGTGGGTTTGCTTTTGGGTTGGGGTTTTCTCTGGAATTGTGTGTTACTTTCTTCCCATAGCTCAAAAATGGCCAAGTCAAATGCTCCAAGAGTATCTGAGATCTAAATGAATCCTCTTTTTTACCCCCATTGCTATAGGGAGAGGTGGTGTGTGCTGTAAACGCTCGCTCGGAGCTTCCAGCAGTGCCTTTAACCATCCTGTTTCGTAGATGTGTTTTGGTTGGTAAATGAAGGGCATGGTTTCATTAGCCCTGGCATTGATTATCCCTGACCCACTCACCCGTATATCCCAGGAGGGATGAGTTTGGAGCTCCTCTGCTTTAAATACAGCCTTTCCTAGGGAGGGTGTTTTGGTGTGGAAAGCTTCTAAAATGCCAGCGTAGCCACACTTAGAAATAGCTTTGTTTTTCCAAAGGGAAGCAT